GTCAACTCCAGCAGTTGCATTAAATGGGACAGCTGCAAGACACATCAAAGGGCTCAATGGACAAATATGCCTTGTTATTCTTGGTTTCCAACATGTTCCATTTTTGTTGCGCTTTATCATGTGCTGACCCATGCATGGTCTGCATGGTTACCCTTAATTGGGATGATCATGATGATCATCCACAACGTCAACCAGACGCCTCCGCTGCTTAAGGTATGGTTTGGGGAGTGCCTTAGTATCACTTCCCGGCAAGTGAGGATTTGTGCTGTCGCTGCAATGGATGCCGAAAATATCCGAACACCCACAAACCAGATTGTTGGCGGGGCTAGGCTTGGGTGTGCTAAAGGACGTTCAAGCGTTCCAATGGGGAAAAGGCAGCAAGTTGGGTCTTGTATGAGGAGGAGGTGCTAGGACCAAAGAAGGTGTGATCTCAAATTTGACACCCGAAGAGCCCCAGAATAAGCCTATCATATTTTATCATGGTTTGTCGATATTTTCCCCTATTAAATTCTACACATTTTGCCATGCCATGGGTTTCCCAACGTGCGTTGAGACAAAGCCATATCCTGAGACCTTTCGCAACAGGCTGGCCAAGCCTGGGTTGGTAAAATGATGTAAAACGTGTGGTTTCATGGGATACACACACACATATATATATACATACATACATACATATACACATTATGTAGAATTCTAGGTGCAAATAAATGGTTGCAACTTCACCTGGTGATGGCTAGTTTCCCCATCATTCTCTGGGGTTCCTTTTTTCAGGATTGTACAGGCTTGCAAGTGATTTCTATGCATTGTGGCCCCACGACTTCCCACGGCCCCCATGTTTGATGGTTCCAAGCGTATTTGGTGGGTTAAATGGTTAACCTCTCTGAGAATTTACAGGAACCCCATAGAGCCCCCTTGAGTTTGCTGTAAAAATACTTGGTTTCCAGATGTTTCGAGTCGATTTTCCCTTCCAATTGACTTTCTCAAGTCCCTGCGGGTGGTCCTGCGATTTTCTCCTTTCGCTCAAGCAGTGGGCGTAAATCCCTGCAGTCCAACGCAATCATGGCGTCCGATGCACAGCAGGTTAAGGTTGGATGGTGCCGGGGCATTGTTGATTGCTTAATACAGGTGGTGTCAGGGGATTATACCACCTGGATGGTTGGAGATTACCCTCTGGTTATGTCAAAATAGCCAGTGAAAATTGCCATTTATAGTGAGTTGTCCCATTAAAAATTGTGATTTTCCATAGTTATGTTAGTTTACCAGAGGGTATCATAATCCACTAAACTAAAGCCTTCTCAAATTACCAGCTGGAAACCCAGCAATGGGAAATATTTGGCGAAAGATTGGGCTCAGCCCCTGCAGCGACTTGTTCCTTGCAGTTACATTTTGCAGCACCCGGTGTAACTGTCTCAACTGAAAGATGTCAACATTTTTCTTCCTACTCATATGTAAACTGATAGTTGAACACTTTCCGAACACTTTCCCGCTGCTGAAGCTGTGCAAGTTGTAGCGCAATTCAACCTGCGTTAGGTGACCATTTCAGGCATGTCAAGATGATATGCTGGTTGGTGGTTTGGAACATTTTTTATTTTCCATAGTATATGGGCTAATCCTTCCCATTGACTTTCATATTTTTCAGAGGGGTGGCTCAACCAAGGTCTCGGCTGTAAGCACTCTGTCTGGGATTCCCCCCCAGCTGAGTGTAGGGTTAGGAAGGAACCCGCCGTTGACCTTAGTGGGATCCCATTGGCGCTGGCGATTCCCACGGGCTGCTGCGTTCTTTGCACGCAGATTTTGCCTCTTGTGCTCTGTCAGCTTTGTGCTAGCTGACAACACCTTTGCTCCGGGACAAGGTCTACTTCGCAAAAGACTTTGTCAACAATTTTGCATTGGGCTGCACCCACTGGCTGTCTTTGACCCTGGCTGTAAGCCCCATCCCATTTGCAATTCAATTCAATTCTATTTATTTTTGGTTCTGCGCTTATCCCACTGGCTGTCACACGACCCTGGCATTTGTGCATAACCCTACGTTGTATCGACATTTCCGGACATTTCCTTGGTTTATTTGGGCATTTTTCACTGGTTCTGCGCTGGCCATACAGCGGCCCTTGTGTGTGGATTGGGGGTGAGCTCCCCACATCATTCTGACTGGCTCATTTGGTGGTTGAATGATTTTTGTGCTACATTACATTGCAGCAATACAAATCCTCTTCACCTTGGTGGCCAACTACGTGCAGTCCAACCCACTGATTTTGTGCGAGCCCAACAATTTTGACCACGACTACGCCATCACAGCGGCGTGCACAGAGGCGTGGGCGAGCTCAAGCGAGGCTCCGTTGGCATTTGCACAAAAAAGGGCTCAAGACCCTTTCTCAGGGGCAACTGGCACAGTTGGTGGACAAGCTCCAACATCACCATTCCAAAGACCAGGTATTCATCAACCGCATCAAAGCAGAACAAATGGCGAACAATGCTGGACCATGGAGATGCAAGACCTGCATGAAAATATGCAGCTCAACACATCAATTTTGTGGCGTATGTGGGATTTCTTGGCACCTATGCTCAGATCCATCTTTTCAGCCTCCTCATCGACAGACCAGGTCGCAGCGCTCAGTTCAATGGAGCTATGCCAACGACTGGACGGAGCAGGATTGGGAAGATTCATACTGGGATGCGTCTCAAGTCAGCGATTCGCAATGGACGAGACCTCCAAGGCCAAGAACGACTTCCAGAAGAAAGTCCTCACGAAAAGCCAACAAAAAAGATGCAGACCCGCACAAAGGTGCAAAGGGAAAAGGCAAAGCTGCGACGTCAGAGCCGGAAAAGATAGGGCCACCTGCATTGACAGCAAGTGCAATGGACCCGCCTTGGTTGCAATCCATGAACTCTATTGCAGCCACCATGCCTCCACCGGCACAGCAGAGCTCAGAGGACAAGCAACTGAAGACACTCATGGCGGCGCTGAAGAAACACAGCGACACACTGCCACCAGAGCTACAAAACATAGTCAACGAAGCAGCGATCAAGGAAGGCCAACAGGAAACCAAACAACTCCATGCAGTCGTGGCGGCCCATGGACGAGCACGAAAGGAACTACAGCAGGCACAACTTGCAAGGTTCCACCTACACAACGCATGGAGAGGATTCCTCAGTCAAGCGGTCACCCAGTGGCAAGGTTACAGTGCACAGTTCATGGAGCAGGAGAAGCAGATGAACGAGCGGGTGAGCTCAGCAATGGAAGCACTGGATCAAGCCAAGGAATGCTTGGCAAAGGCCAAATCCACTGCCGGCATCGAAGCAAAGGAAGATGCAATGACAGTCAGCGACGAGGAACCCGACAAAGACCTCGCGGGCTCGACAGCAGATCGCATCAAAGAGGGCCTCACCAACCTGCAAACCAGCTTGGAAGCCTTACAAACCTCAGCAGAACAGATGGTGGAGGACGAGCAAAAGGCACTCAAACGGCCTCGCCTCGACCCAGCACATGCAGAAGCAGCAAAGCCATCCGAGCCGCATGGTGGTGCTACGGGGTTTGGCTAGGCCGAGTGAATACAGTGATGGAATCTATTGCTCACAGGCCTTTCTCACATGCGGTCAGTGTCTCAGGATGCATCCCAAAGTGGACGCATGGAGTTCTTCAAGAACCCAGTTTTGTATCTGAATGGCAGGCAAACGATGCTGCGTTTCACCTAGCCTGGGAAGTGGGCACTTTGCCACCTCAAACCAGCTCAGGTTCGACCATTTGCCCAGCCACGCACATTGCCAAAGCGATCATGCCTCACCCAGTTTTGCGTAGGGAAGGCTCTAAGGTTGACAGTGGTAGTCAATGCCCCAGGGGAGACAGGCCAAGCGTGAAAACGGTGGCCTTCTCTGAAGTTTTGTGCATTAGGATAGGCGAAGACACTTCCAATGCTTTTCAGGACTTTGTCACGCATGCCAATGCCTTGTTATCCCCTTGGAAACCATGGAAACTTCTTCCATCAACTGATGCTGATCAACCTTTTGCTCAGGTTCACTTTGAACATGATAGTCCAAAGTGTCACCCACTGCAGTCGAAGCATCCGTCCACCCGTTTTGTACAGGTGAATTCAATGCCACTCCGTGCTTCTGTACAGACCGAAGTGTTGTACGCTGCCCCGCAGGAAGCCGAACATTCTTTCACCTCATTCACCGTGCAGCCGGAAACCAATTTTGATGTTTCACCTCGGATTCCGCGGGTTGCCCAGCTTGGATGTAGTGCCAGCCAATGCAGTGAACTTTGCACTGCAACATCAAACCCGGAAGCAGATGCCCCTGTGCACTCAGAAAAAGTGACACCATGTCCAGTAGAACATACACCACCTTCAACTGGTGGGCTACCGACAGGCAAAGCCTATGCCAGCCGAGCAGTATCACCTGCCTGCTCCCGCAGTGAGTCATGCTCCGATGTGTCCCTGGTTAAGTATCACCGTGAGTTCTTGTCAGGTTTAAGCCAGATTGACGCCTTGTTGCAGGATGATGCCCAACAGCCGTCTTTTCTGCACCGTGCAGTGACATCAACCAATAAACATGCACTGGATCAGGTTTCACCTTCCGACCCTCCTGGTTCCTTAAGCCTCATCCATGAGAAAACCCACACTGCTGAGGTGAACAAGCATATCAATTCAGGTTCCTGCCTGCCTCCACTAATGCAGGCTAGAAGAGAACATGAGAGCCCGACTGCACACCTTGTGGGCCCACAATCGGATGATGAGGACACCAATGATGAACCCATGGACACAAACAATCAGCCCATTCTTCCAGCCTTTGTCAATTACCTAACCAATAGGTTAGAAGCGCTTGGGCTTGACCCGCATGACAATGACTTCGATCTGCCAATACGCACTTGGTACATCGACCACCGCACAGTGCACAGGTGGACAGCACCAAGGATCCTGCAATTGGTAGGACCACCAAGGGGATGGGAGGCTCAAATACAATCCCTGTGGGTTGACCAACTCAACAATCAGGATTGGTTTGATGGGATCATTGTTGAACCTGACCCTCCTCGAATTGCACGCCATGCATTTGTGGTCTTTGACATGATTGTTACGCAGTCCCTTGAGGTCCCACGTTTTGCATCCATGATCACTGTCATGCCAGGCACAGCTCAAACGTTCCAAATGTACACAGTTGCATGCTCCCTGCCCGAAGTAGTCAGTGGATATGAGCTGGTTCAAGCTGCTGATGCCGGTAGATACTGTAGACATGCAGAATGCCTCATCACGTATCGCTGGA